CAGTCACCTTTAGATAGCTCAGGCCAAGTGCAAGTATCCTGAAAGTGCGTTGTGCTGCATGCTCACGGGACAGGCCAGCTTCTGTGAGTTCAGAGGCATCCTGCATACCTCCGGAGGTTTTCAGGATGTTCCTTTTGCCTTTCAAGCATGTGCTTTTGCTATTAGGTTTAGGTCTCTAATTATGAGCTGCCTTGGAAGAAAAGTATCCAGGTCCTGGGAGTGGGTCTTTCAACTCCCTTTGTTTTAATTGACAAGCTTATCCAGTTGAAAGGAAAAGGAGGGAGGGAATAGGTCCTCATCCATTGGAGGCCTCTGCGCCTCTAATTCATGCCATTAAAACATCCGTGACATACGACTTCGTTTTTTTTTTTAAGTCGGTTTCTGCTCAGGCACAAATCTGGTGAGACGAGTTTTGCACAAGGCCGATTGTTTGCAAACTTCAGAGCCCCAAAGGTGCAGCTGCTCTAAAAATAACAAGGGAGACGAGAACTGGTTTGGGAAGGTCTCCCTCCGCCCGAGTCCAGAGGCAGGTCTTGAAAGGCTGCCACTGGGGAGACGGGCGATCTTACAAACTGAGCTGGCCTGATTTCCAGAGGTTCGGAGCATCTGCAGCTCCAGCAATGCTGCATCGGACAAGTTATGCCTAGGAAGCACACAAACGTTTCCCATAGGTTTGTAGACTGTAAGACCGGAAGGGACCTCGGAAGATCATCGGGTCCAGCCCCCGCACCAAGCAGGCTGGGATCAGACATTACTACTGTATGCACAATCACCAGGGCCCAGGGTCTTCTGTGCAGACCCTTTTCCAGATTGGAAAAAAAAGAAAAGCAAAGTGGGGGGTCACTCGGTTGCCTCTGCAGAAAAAGTCAGCGCATACTGGTAGCATGCAGCACTGCACTGCAATTTGCTCAGCGATCAGCTTCGAGACTCCTCAGATATTGGTAGGACATGTTTTTTAGCAGGGTCGGCAGGTGTATTTGTATGGACGAACCTGTCATCTGATCAGCCTCCTTCGCAGAGTGAAACCCCAACAGTCTCCCGGGTCGATCTCCGGGAAAAGCTGTCAGTCCGGCCCAGCGGTGTGTCCAGGTGCGGGCGGTCCTTGGAAGGCAGCTCAGCGTGGGCCGAGAGGAAAAGGCCGTGCACAAAAAGACCAGGCCAGCTCTATTGCAGCTTGCAGGCAGGTATGTGGCCAGTCACCTCATCTGAGCCTATCTGAAATGGGCTGAATCCAGGGGCCAAAATAAGCTGTCTGCACTGGCCTGTTGACAACCCTCTGCACTGGCACTCGCTGCTTTGGTCTGAATATGCATCACCTTTGCGTGGACCAAATTCGTCCCAGGTGCAACTCCACGCTGACATCAGAGGGAGCGACATCAGGATGCGTTTGCCTCCTTGGGCCCGTGGAAGCACTATTTTGGCAGGAAAATATTCCAACCCCCTCAGTAAAAGGTACACTGTCTCCATCCACGGTTATTCTTTTTGTGGTTTGGGGTTTATGTATTTACATCTTAAGGAATCAAGTACTGGGTTAAGCAGCAAAGCTTTCCCTGTGACTCATGCTCTTTAATAACTAATAAGCGACTCCAGCACACCAGGACTGCCCACAAGGGCCCGCGCCACACCAGCCTCTGCTGGGTTGCTATTCCAGAGCGGCCCTCCTCTTACACAGCGTTGCATAAGATCGGTGTAACCCTTTGCAAAGCGGTTAAGAGAGGGCAGCTCGCTAGCGGGAGATGCAAGGTGCTCTGGAAGGGGATGAAATTGCTAGGGGAAAAACGCTCCAACGAAACGTGGAAATGGGGTGTTCATCACCAATGTGAGCGAGGTTTCCAGGTGCAAGGGGTGAAACATCGGAGCTCGGCTCCCTCGTGCCATAGCTGTTGTGGGTCGGTTGCTTTTCCCGATCTGGAGGACTGTGTTAAAATCCGGACACTTACATAAACGTTGTTTATAGACTGGAAAACCGTCAATGAAAATGTTATTTCACTCGAGGAAGGTGCACAGTGGCCCCTTGGAAATTGTTTTCTGTTGTTAAAAAACCCCCCAAAAAACAGTGTCCAGCATGGTACAGTTGAAGTGGTTACAGCAGTATTTTTCCCCGTGTTGATGAATTCATAGACCAAATACCTTGCTAACAGATGTTTCTCTTAAACTTATGCTGGTTTAAGAATAACTCAATGTCAGCACTGCCCTTTATCTGCATACGCCTTTCCAGTAACATTCACAGGCATTTATAAGGCACGGGCTGCGTAGAAACAAAAGAAAGCTGAATGCAAAAAACCTAACGGATTTTACCCAGAGCTTCAGCTCAGATGCCAGAAGTGTTTGGGGCACCATGCCTGCACGGGTTTGGGGTTTTTTTTCCCAGATGTGTTGGTTGGCAGTGGGCATTTTTGATCCTGTTTTTATGGTTAATTTATAACACCTAGCCGTGAAAGACCCGAACCATAACACAGCAGAAAGTCCCTCTGACTCCAGAGATGGGTATGAATGTGTGATACCTATGCACGTGCAATACAAGAGAGCAGTACAGCCGCGCTGGGGTTAGCTCTCAGCTGACCTAGAGTAGCAAGACCAAGGTGTCTGGAGAGGAAATCACCCAGGATCACTTCTTTGGCCATGTTTCTGGGTCTTGCAGTTGGCAGACTTTTTTTCATCCTGTGTGAGAAACAATGTCAGAACTGCCATTGACTGGGTCAGGCAAATTTGGGTGGGTCAGGTCCATCTCGGCCTGGCTCTTGGGTCACGCAAGGGCAGAGAGCGGATGCTGGAAGGATGAGAGAATTGGGTATGAGCAGGGGTTTTTTTCTTCCCCTCTATTCCTCTCTCTCAGCCTCCAGCATTTAAGGTCTAAGAAGTTTTGATGGCGTGTGCAGTGATATTCCTGAGGGGACGCAGAGCAGCAGTGCCTTAGAGAACGCCGTAGGTAGAGTTTCCGTCACGGCTACCTGGACGTGCCTCTCCGCGGAGGTGTGCGAGCATCTGCCAGCTCTCCGCTTCGGGAGCTGCACTCTCCCGCACCTGCTCCTCCATCACCTCCAGCGACTGAAGCTGCGGGTTAATTATAGATGGGTCCCAACCAAAAGCCCACACGCGAGCAGCCTCGAACGCCGGGGGAGGTGCGATGCGAGTGTGCAGTGTGTGTCTGGCTGTGTCTGGGACGAGCTGGAGCACAGCTCTTCAGACCCAGGCACCCCCAGTCTTTGGATAAGGTTGGCTCAGGATTGAAGTCTGGCGTATGGACCCCTAGCCGGCCCTCTGCCCAAGCACGCCAAGTTAGCAGTTACGGTCACGGGGAAACATAGATACCCACATCCCCATGGCCCTAGCTCTGGAGGGCTGCTTCCCCGGCCTGTCCACATGCCTATGGACTCTTAAAGGAAGATCTCAAGTCTCCCCAAGGCCACTGGGCTCCATCACTAGATTTTGGGGGGACGACTAAAGAGAGAACAGAGAGTGAGGGTGCAGACGCATGACGAGTGCGGCCACGCAGCGCCCACGACCCCTCCAACGTGGCCAAGGAGCACAGCAAAACTTTTTTTTTTTGTACCTTTAACAACCCGTCCAGCGACCACTCTGGTGCACTCGCCAGACCAAAACACACTGGAAACTTTATTGTTTTTTTTTTTGCAAAAATATTTAATTCTGCATCTCTTTATTCCTAATATATATATAACTGTACCTGTCACAACCTGTCAAGGGACCCATCTGGTGCACTTGCCAGACCAAAGCACACCTGAAACTTTTTCTTTTTGCAAAAATATTTATTTCTCTATATATTTATTTCTAATTGTACCTCTAACAACCTGTCAAGGGACCCCTCTGGTTCACCTGGCAGACCAAAACACACACCGACAGTCCCTGCAGTCCCATTGCACAGTCCGCCCCCGGCCACCCACCCCTCCCCATGCCCCTGCTATGGTTCCTGGTCCTTGCAGAGGGTTTGCCTCTGCCCAAGCCCATGCCCCGCTCCTCTGCCCCCTATGAGCTCTGCCATTTCTTTCTGTCATAGCAGAGTGGAGCGGGGAGAGGAAAGCGGCTTGGCG